CATTTAGTATTTGACAACGAGGGTCGGTTGCGAAAAATGATTTCAGCTCCCCAAATAGTGAAATTTCAGTTTTTATATAGCAATATTCCAGCAACGCCTGCATATGGAGTATAAATATCCCAGTTGATACGATATTCAAGAGCTTGCATTTTCTATCCTATTTGATAGAGGGTTGCCTAACAAGGACGCAATTGAACTAAGGTTGCCAAATGTTAAAGTTGAGGTCATCTTTTCGACAGTTTACCGGGCCTTAGCGGCCGAGTTGTCTAAGTAGTTTATCTATTCTACCGTAACACTAGCCTGTCAACACTGAGATGGGGGTTCAAACTCCGCACGTGGAAGGTGCGTTCGATTCCAATCTTGTTTTACCATGATTGTCAGTTTTCCTTCCGAGATCGGTGGTTCTGTCCAGACACTCCGGCTTCCTCCGACAATAAAAAGTGACCGCCACGCTAAAGCAAATATTGCTTAAAGTTGTGTTACACAACAATCAACAATCAATCAATCAAACAATTGAAAGCTTTCCGCATGCTATCACGATGTTATTACCGTCATGGAATACCTGACCACGGATATGTTCCAATGGTTGTAACCACAATCCCGGCCTCTTATCTTAATTATGACATAACCAAATTAATCATATTACTGCATTGTACTTACAAAAAGCGACCTGACGTCGTCACTAGTGGACCAAGATCTGCTTACCTTCTCTTAGCACCTGAGATCCACCCCAGTTTTTGTGAGGTTCGTGTTGCTCGGTCTTTAGTTTTCTATGTTGTGTTTTGTGGACTTGTTTGTCTGTTCGTCGTCTTTGGGTTTTTTTTAACACGATATCAGTTTTATCGATACGTTACGTTCGTGCATGTTCATCGTATTAGGACGTCACTAGCAGGGATGTGCTCCTTGTTTTATACCTTAACGGGCCTTCGGCTGTTTTCTGCTCTTTGGTCGGGTTGTTGTCTATTTGACACATTCCCCATTTCCATTCTCAATTTTATTATTATGATATTTGAACATCGGTAAAATACTTATGCCTAAATTTACTTCGATTTATGAGTTTATATTTCTCCTCTTTTGTAGTGTTATATCTAGTGTCTGTATCTCTGACACAAGATAAAATAATCTGTTGCTTATATGTTACATGTTTTGGTGATGGTTCTGTTTTTCTAGAAAGTTTAAATGTTTTCACTAAAATGTACTTATTTGAATTGTTAATTTTTAGTTTAATCAATTTATCTTTGGGTAATGAACTTTGCTAAAGGATTGATGAGCGTGTTTGGTTAGGTTGACAGCTTTAGCAATTCGGAGGATTTGAAAAGGGATTTGGAAGTTTTAAAATTGATTATCTGACATGTAAACTATACAATTAATTTTTCAAACTTTAAGATGACTATTCTAAAATTCTTTCATATAAGACACAGTAACTGTAAATTGAAACAGCAGTATTTCAAGGACTAATTTGTTGAACTTGTATAACAATCAAAGGAACACGAAATGGGGCCAATACTTCTCTATAAAAAGTTTAAATCCACACAACAAAACAATGTTAAGACAGTGTGCTGGACAAGAAAGAACCGAAAAAATGATATATGCTTCATGTTAAAAAACACACAAAAAATCAGTCAAACATCATCATTTTAGGGCAATCACTCATTAAGGAGTCATTCAACGGTTTCAGTCATAATTGCCATTTCAGTAGCTCTTGTATAACTGATCTTTTCTGCAATCGAGTTTCTACCTATCTTTTATAGTTTACCATTTGAGCCAACATTTATTAGTTGTAAAGAAGTGACTCTAATTCTAGCATTTTCGTGGTTATTTAGACATTATTAAATTTCAGCGTAAAGATATGCACAAATATTTCACTCAGAATTAAGATTACGGATACTATAAAGAGATTGTTAAAGATAACTTTTATTGTAATATAAATGATACTTCTATTGCAAATTGTTTTTATGATATCCTATATCAAATCTTTTCTTTTTTTTTTGGCTTTTGTGTTTCTCGCATAATGATGAATGTATGTTCATCCCAAGAACAGGTAAATTCTAAATGACACAGATAAGAACCATAATTGTCTTTCGGAATTACACATAAACGGTATCCTCTTTTCTGTTTATAGCTGTATTGTAACCAGTTGGACATATCACATTCTAGCACTTAAGGATAACTAAGAATACATTGGTTGAGTGAAACAAGAAATGAATTAATAAACATTTAGGCACATTTGGTTTAAACCCACTGGAAACCAATGATAACGATAATAAGGGTATCATTTTTATATGAAACGTAACCAACGTATGTCAGTGGATTAAAAATATGTTTTCTACGTATAAAGGATAATTTGACGAATGTTTTTAATGGAATTGACTTGTAAAATGTGGTATCTCCGCGTCACGTTCTGTCACTTAGCTAGGAAAGATCGATATTACCAACGATACAGTATACCCAGTAGTATAGTATAAGAACATTACATACATCTCAAAGCCTTAATAATGTTTTAGCTGACATCAACACCACAAATTTGAAATTAAATACTCTAACACGAAACTGTATGAAACATCCAAGATTATTAAACCTGAACAAAAACATCTATTTATATTTATATTTGAGATGAGATTAATCTGAAAGCGTAATACAGTGTTATGACAGCTAGTATTACGCAGTCGTCGGGTAATTATTACTTGGACTAATTTGATAACTGAAACCCATAATCTGTGCCTATAGTTAGACCATTCAACAGTGGATTCCAACACTTGACATATATTTTTGGTCATTGACATTGTATAAAATTTAAAAATATTTAGTGAGGACTTGTTTGAATATTGTTTGAAAACATGAACAATAAATCTCAGAACAAACTATCCAGATAACATCAAATCTGCAAACGGACATGACTGTCTCTATGTGCCTCAATCAGTATCCATCGGGGTCTACCAAATCAATTAAGTTTTTTTTTAAGAAAATTTCTTTTAATATCAGAAGTAGTTTGAAAAACTGCAAATATTAAGTTATAGTATATCTAACGAAGACATAAGAAGATAACGCTGTTAATGAAACAAAAAATACATGGAAATCAACAATGTCTTAAAAATACAGTGGCCAACAGTAATTTCACAAATTGAAGTTATAATATTTTTTAATGAACATAGATTCCAACAGACAATTCAATGTTTGCACATTGTAATTAACCGATACTGCTCTATCTCGCATCGAGACCGTCTCCATTTTCAAAAACAATAACTTTACAAATACGAATAAAATGAGAAGGCAAAAAAAATAATTATTTAGCCGATTCAGATGCAGGTAAGAAACGAGTTCCATAGATTCTGGCAAAATTCGTTTAGCAAAACGAGCATTTATTAGCGAGTTTTAAGGGAAACAAAATAGCATATATACAAACAGAAAATAAACCACCCATGCGCAAGTTCTTGTCAAAAAGCGTAAAGAAGAAAGAGAGAAGATAACAAGGCGGCAATTTAAAATCACAAGTCCAATAAAAACGGACAACCACATGATAAAAAAGAAAAACAAAACAACGAAAAAATGACTATCAATAACAAAACATTTGAGAGAAAACTCAAAATTGTGCAACACAAATAAACCAAAAATCAGGGGTAAACTTGAGGTTTCCTGGAGGGTAAATATAGCCAACAGTAGTTTACCTATAATCTCATAAATCAAGCGTTTTTGACTCCAATAGTGACATCCGTCGTGTTGCTCATGCAAGTAAACATCTAATGAAAAGAAGCATTCGGTGGTGTGATATTCGAGGGACTGAGGACGGGATTGTTGTGGAACATATTCGTGGTCGTCTGTATCAAAGATGCTCCATAACGGTCAACCAAATCGTGATGGTGGCACATTTTGGTGATTTAAACATTCGATTTGAGCGTTAAAACATCATGGAAAATTCACATTTTTAACACAAAAAAAAAACCCTAGTAGACACCACTAGGTAAATCTTCATTTTTAACAATAGACAGGTAGATGTCCATACATTATGTCAATTTCAAAAGCCGCCCCGATTCTAGAAAAGTAGTGACTAAATTTAACAGAAACTATAAAAGGTCTTTCATCCATACCAAATTTCTCAAGATGAATTTGAAAAAAAAATACACAAAAAATAGCAACATTAAGACATGACAAAGACTTGAACCATGAACATGAGGCATGTTGGGCTAGTTGTTGTGACATCTCCCCGCTCCCTCTTTTAATCAATCAATAGACCAACATAATGTATAAAACTAGATTAGATGTACATGTCTTGATAAATGTTAATGTTATTGCTAGAATCCAAGTTGTCAAACGTGTGTGGTTCAATTGTTGTTTGTCTATTATTATATGTCTCGTTCCTTTATTTCGTTTGGTGGCACACTCGTACCAATTAAAAAAACTATACCACAAGTATTTCATACAATCAGAAAACTGTATCCACATAATCAACATGAATCTAAATGATGATATCAAAATTGCATTATTGATGTTTTCAAATAACGAACTTTGACAAACTACATAAAAAATCTCTCGAGGAGATGAACAAAACAGCAAATTGCGTATGGGCGTATTTACATTGTGTAACACGTGTTTGAACTAGACGGAAGTTGTTGACGTTCAATTGAAATGTAATGAAATTGTATTAAAAATTGAACTGACTATTGAAACAATAGTCAAAATAGTTAGAAAAGTGGTATTGTATTGATATTGATAGACATAATATTAATTTTGAACCATATGAAGATTAAATGATACTTTATAGAAACGTTACGAAAGCCAGCAAATTATTAAAAAAAACTGTCTTAGATGTCATGCAAAAACAGAAAAATAATGTGATAGACATTATCAAAGATGTAACAAACAGCTTTAATCAAAACAGATCATTTCTCATGTACCAACAAATTAATATGAAGAAGTGGCGGTTAATGATGTTTCATGTTAAAGCTGCGGAGGCTCAGCAATATTCACACACATTGAAAAAAATGGAAAGAATGCGTACCTACCTGTTGGCTGATATTCAGTGCAGGTTGTGAGGACGCCATTCTTTCTAGACAATCGTCTGTAGATTCTGTTGCAGTAGAGGTACCTTGTTTTTGAGTGCCAGGAAGACTTTTTGTATCACAGCTTTCATTTCTAGCTTTTAAAGTGGCAGTGCTAGACTTGGTAACACACGGAGATCCCGACCCTTTCCCATCATCACTATATCCATCACAGCTATCTCTCCTCTGATTTTGTCTATTACCGTTTATGCTAACTTCTAAAAGATCAACACTTCTAGCAAAAGCATCACGTAAATTTATAGAATGAAATGACACTATACTTCCGGTTCGTTTCGCACGCTCTAATGCGTCACGTCTTTTGAGCGCCTTTTCCCGTCTCATTTGATCTTTGTAAAATTCTGCGAAGTTGTTTACTATAATTGGAATAGGTAGAGCAATAACTAATACGCCACATATACAACAAACACTTCCAACGATCTTTCCAGGTACTGTGGTCGGATAAATATCTCCGTAACCGACCGTCGTCATGGTGATGGCTGCCCACCAAAATGTTTCGGGAATACTGATAAATTTTGTCTTATACACATCTTTTTCGGCAAAATATGCTAAACTAGAAAAAAGTAAAATTGAAATTGCTAGAAACATTAATAATAATCCTAATTCCTTGTAACTTCTTTGTAAAGTATATCCTAATGACTGTAACCCAGTAGAATGTCTTGCTAGTTTCAGAATTCTTAGAATTCGCATTATTCGAAAAATCTGTACAACTCTTCTGACGTTATGGAATTGCTCTGTTGTATTTTTATTGGATTCTGTTAACCCTAAACTAATAAAGTATGGCATAATTGCTAGAAGATCTATTATATTTAAAGGTCCTTTGAAAAATTTCCATTTATTAGGAGATGCCCAAAATCTTGCTAAATATTCTAAAGTAAACCATCCTATGCATACAGCCTCTACTATGTCCAGTTGTTCGTTGTCTTTGCCAGGTTTGTTCTGCATCTGTGGCATCGTGTTGAGAGTTAAGGCAATAGTAGAGAGAACGATGAACAATATGGATACAATGGCAACAACCTGCAAAAAATTAATACACTTATAAAGGGCTAAATAAAAAGGATGCAGTTTTGTGCCATCTAACCAAGAATATTTTGTTTTTTAAGATATCTCAGTATGTTTTATATAAATCTCTGTCGTACGAAATATCTATATAGATGAGTTACGATATATTTTTTAACTCTTTGCAGCAAGTGTCTTTATTTGATATTTTATTCTGAAACGTTTCATTTCCTATTGATTAACATTGCTTCATTTATTACGAAAATTTGAAGATAAATTAAAACTAACACCTCTTTTTTGTATGAACATCTATAAGAGGTCAAACGTTCATTTGCATTACAAAATAAATGCTAGTTTCTTATATTGCTGTAGTTAAAAGTTTCTTGTAAAAGTTCACCAGTAGGCTATACATGTATTGGATATTTTCATAGTTAAAAAAAACTTAAAATATGCTTCATACAATGCAAACATTAGTTTTGCCAAGATGGACAATTTTTTTGGTTTAAACTTTCAGGTTTCATTCAGAAAAAATTCGAATCACTTTTTAAACAGATATAAACCATTGAACATAAATCCAAATTGTATGTTATGCGCAATTTACATTTTGTCAATTTAATTATACCAGCGAAAATCGACTACAACGTGCAGTTGATTGAACCAAGATACAAAACGTTAAGGACAGCTTGAAATAAGATGAATAATTTCAAGTTCACCTGACCGCCATTGTTTTAATTAAACTCATTATTGGTAAAGCAATACATATTTGATCTCGACGTGCCAGCTATGCAATAAAAGACTGTACAATCGATGGGACATTTCATTACCGACTTAACACACTGTTTACTGTCATTGTTTATTACTTTGCTAATGGAACGTCGTGCAAATAAAACGAACGAGTAGAGTACAAGCAATGACTAAAATACCAAGTAGTTCATCTGTTATGTTCACTATTTCAGTATACGGCTTCATTTCATTGATGGGTTTTGGATCCTAAAATGCAACTAGTAAATTTCATGGTGCTTGCTTTGATATTTATTTGTAAATAACATGATGTCAAGCAGAAGGAGCGACGGTCTCATGGGATTGGACAGGAAGTTCAACAATTTCATTACTGGTCGTTTTCTGAACATACAATGAGTTTATAAAAGGAAACAGGGGAATATATACACTCATAAATTAGTCTAGCTCATAAATCCTTCAACGTAATATGTCTGTCTTCTCCATAGGCCTACTGTAATTGTCTGTTAATCCTGGTAAAATTCTATATCAAGTCGATTTTTGATAGATAAATAAATACATATTTAATAAACTAAATGTTAAAACATCATTTGTTCGAACAGCAAGAAACTTCATAGCTGTAAAACATACAGTTAATACCGTTCCCTCCTGTAACACATACAACAACAATTTCTGTCTGTTTTTAAAAATTTAAAACAAGTCAATTACAAAAGCTTCCTTTTTGAATTTTTGAAATGACATTGCCGTGACTTATATATATTATAACAAAAGAGTAACCAATCATAGTTTCTGCAGAGAAATGTATTTCAAAAAATGTCTATGTAATTTGGTAAGACGAAAAGAGGACTTTAAAATGAAATATCACAGAAACTCTGACAGAAAACAGTAATTCCATATTACTGTTTGAATAACATGAGGGAAAATACCAGAATTCTTAAGCTGTTAACTATACAGTTAAAGCAAAAATGTATGTGTATCTGTATACCTGCTAATTTGTACATTATCTTGCTGAAATACATTAAACTGAAAATGAGACTTATATAGTTCCGTCAATGTAAATCGTTTAGTTTTTATAGTAGTGACTGATTGGACAGAGTGTGGAAACTACTTACAACACCAAAATACGATAAGAAATTTTTGAAACAAAGAGAAAGGTACCAGAAAAGGAACAAATAGTCATCGATCATGCTCTCTTCAAAACCAAATTTAGTTGCTTTGACATTACAAAAAATACATTGTGATTGAAATGGAACAATAGGTGGAATGTAAGATTTGATAGGAAGGGCAAGGGAAAGTTTGGTTTAAAAATGTTCCAAATGCAAGAGAAATTTTAATGGAAAAAGGATCAGAAAAGGACAGACGGAAGATACCAAAGTGATATGCAAACTCAAAAGTCGAAAACGAACTGACAATACCATGGCAAAAAAAAACATGTCATGCTCTTTGGTCTAAATATAAGAAAAAAACTGGTATTGTATAAAATTGATGTTTTGTCTAAACACCAGGAAATACTAAACACCAAAAATTCAGGATATACTTTTAAATAGGAAAAGCAGGATAAATCAGAAATCAGAAGCAACTAATAAATGGGACGGTTTCAAAATATATGCAAACGGACTATTTGGTAATTTATACATAAACATAACCTACTTTCAGTTGTTTTTAAAGGGACTTGTTGTTATTTGATGTCAAGAAAAAATAGTACTTAACTAATGGCCGCTTTCAAACCGCGCAAGTGAATATGATTTTAAGCATATCGTTAGAACTCGATACTAAATATATGATATTAGTTGAATAGTTCTAGAGCCTTGTTTTTGGAATTTTTGCTACAAATAAAGCCTAATTAAATCTTTTAATTTACATATTTGTTTTGTGATGCCTTCATTTGTGAAAGCATTTAACATGTCCCATGTGAGGATTTACCTTTACAACGCTCGAATTTAATCAAAAACATAAATCAATGTTTCGTCATTTCCATTTCAATTATTAGTTTCCTACTTATAAACTATTTATCAAACAATGTAATACTACTAAAATGAATCTATTGTGCCATTAGAATTAAAATGACAATAATTTACGGTTTTTACAAACTGCATTTTCCTTAAAATTAGTCTAATTTTATCCTTTTCAAATCAAGTTCTCCAAAAAAGTGTACTAAATATTTTGTTATTTCTTATTTAACGAGAGTAAGTTTATACCTTTATATCAAACTGCCAGGTAATATAGGTGTTCTGACAGACAGTTATTCTGGTAAATCATGCCAGGTGTAAAATTATTTAATGTACTTGCACCCACTGTAAAGTCACAAGATAAGTTCTATGGTTATGCACTTGTTTCTTTTTGTCTATTGATGAAAAAAAATAAGATTTGCATTCATTATTAATTTCTACTACTGTTTTGTCTACTTTCAAACTTATTAGTAAGACTAAGATGCAGCTATTGAATAATTGATATGGCTTCAAGCTTGAAGAAAAGCTGACTTAAATGCTGATTGCTGTTTAACCGTCCTTTAAGGCTCACTAAAAATTCTTGTTGGCGAGCGCCAATAGTTACGCGACAAAACTATGCGATTAACAGATAAATGCAAATAAACAAAACTGATAGGAAGTTAGCCTTATTGTAAATCGTAACAACAACCTAAGCTCTACTATGAAGCAAGCACATTAAGTAACTAGTCGCCAGCTTTAAGCCAAATCAATCGAACCTTTAGCTTTTGGCCTATCCACCTTAGCTAAACAAGCCATATAAATTGACTAGTATACCGTGCAACTTTAAGATCACTCACAACTCTTGAACTTGGCGATATTGAAATGTTAACTACTACAACACCACGTGATTCATAAAAAAACTTCTTCCAATATGGAGTTCTCTTTTCAAACAAATGATTTGAAGAAAGTTTTCACAAATAGATTTAAAAGGTGTAAAAAAAGGTATGTTTAAAAATGGGGAAAATAGCATACTATAAGCGATAATTATTGAAAGCAATTAAAGTTCTTACTCAAAATTTAATTATATATAAATACTTAAAACGATTATAATGCTGACATGTTAATATCGCCATTTCCAATCAACGATACAAGGGGCAAATATTGGGAAGATTACACTGGGTTACGTTACCTGTGAGAGCTTGGCCCAAATTGTCTCTGATAAAGTCTGTGAAAATAAGACATGAGTGTTAAATAATTTCGATCATTTTGCTTTCGTAAAATGAAACTACTTCAAATGACTGATAAGTGATGGATAGGCGGTTTAACTGTTTAAGGATACACTACGCGACTATCATTAAGTCATAACTTGCTTGCATTGGAATGATTCGGTGCACAAACAACCTTCACACACATATAGAAGAAAGAGTCCCTCAACCAAGACCTGTTTTAATGGCTATATTTCTTACAAATAGCTTCTTCATGAAATTTTCAGTTTCAATTATGATTTATTGCATCTAAAATATTTTCAGTAAAGCAATTATTGATTGGTAAAGAATTAAAAGACAACGAAAAGGCAATCGGGGAGAAATGTAGACAACTCCATTAACAAAAAGAAAAACTATTAGGGAAAAAGTAATTGATACAAAACAATACCAAAGAAAACTTGATCTATCTTATTTTGTTCAAACTCCTGACATGATCACGTGATATGCGCCGGAATGGTAAGAAGTTCAAGTCAAACATATTGCACACGTTGCAAGCGGTAAAATATGAACAATCAAATGTGGTAATGTCATAATTAAAGAAAAACCAAAGGGTACGTATGCGACGAAAAGAAAACACATCCGTGATCTTTATGATACTGATATTCCGTAACGGTAAACCAGGTCGACGTGATGTCGACCGAATGCCAAAATTTTAGATCCCAACTATCCGAAACCCTCCTCATCCGTATCTGCTACTAAGGAAGACATTATAGGAGTATCAATAGATATATTATTCATTAGAATGTAGGTAGAAAGTCGGACCGGATATATGTGGTTCGTTATAGTTTATGTTAATTGGAAAAGATGTGGTAATTATATAGACTCAACTGAATTCTCCTTAAATTATTTGTTTTATGAATACACTGCGAGTGCATATTTCTTCTCACTCTTTAAACGTTTCTATTCTTGGTATTTTCGTTGCTTGATTTTGTTTGTTTTGTGTGCATTTTTTATCAATATGCGGAGCCAGTCAAAACAAATTCTGTAAGTGTATTGTGAGAGAATTTGAATTATAGTTTGTTTATAGCAACAATAGAACAGAGAATGGAAACGCAGAATGTGTCAAAGAGACAATAACCCGACTATAACAAGCATTCTTTAATTGGGGGTCCATTTGGCTTTGCGAGATGTACAAACACGTAGCAAAATCTGAATTGATAAGGAGGTTAAATTAAAACAACATTTTGGGATATTTAGACCTCTCTAAACGCAAGTAAACACACTAGAAAGCCTTTGCTGAGGAGTATCCGTTTGACTGTTCTTGGTATATAGATACTCAGTGATATCTACTGACTTGCTGGGGGTGCAAAGGTACGCTCGCAAGTCTGACCTGGTGAGGGCGTTAATCTAAATACCTGTGGGAGAATTCAATGTTCTTTAAACACACAAGAACACATGAGACTCACTTTTGCTGACGGAAGTCCCATTCGCTGTTCAGGATATATAGATACACAATAATAACAGTATTAGGATATATAGATACATAATAGTAACAGTCTAACTTTGAACGCTGGCCCGTCTGAATTGACTGAGGACGTCAAGATAAATATATTTGTCTGAGCGTATCCCTGACTCTCTTGATGCACAAGAGCACTTTAGGCTTTTCTTGCCGAAGTTCGTCCGTTTGATTGTAAGGGACAATAATTTGTTATCTGCAGTTTGCAATCTTTTTATCAAGCAGCGTTGGAGTAATTCTTTAAAATTGTTTCGTTTTATTAGTGTTATTATGCTCCCTCTACAAACCATACATTCGTAAAATATAAACATTTATATAAGTACGTCTCTTTTAAATAAGAAAAAGCTTGACAATGAAAAAGTAACTGAAGCCTACAATTATAATGATTTTTCTAATGTTTCTTTTAGCCAATTATCACTCGAAGAAAATGTATTTATGCGTTATTTGTGTTTGTTAATTATCGAAAACTATTGGAATAAAACCAAGCCGTTGATTCTATACATCATGGTTCAGAACAAATGTAAATTTCCTTAGCAACGGTAATGATCATGTAAAATAAATTGTCAAACCTGATACAAGTTAGAAAGAACCGCGAACAAAATCATCCAATACTTGTTCTGTTTTAATCAAATCATCGTCGTTTAAATTAAGAAAATAACAATAATTAAATTGGTCGTAAGTGTGGAGCTAGCTGATACTATTGGCTTCATTATATAATCGTTAACGATGAGAAAAAGTAACGAATAATGTCACATACATGATAAGGAAGAAATCAATAGTATAATGTCTCATCTGTCGTATGGAAAGAAAATAGGTATGTTTATCAATCTCTAATAGTTATTTCCTAATTCAGACGGGTGTCTTTACCATACAATGCCCCCTCTATCTAATTACAGAAAACAATTATGTATCTGTGCGACCCAAAGTTGAAAGCTTTACAACAGCATTATCAAGACAGGTTGTATCCATAAATAAAGGGAAACGTAAGGTATACGTCAATGAGACAGCAATCTAAATGCACTAATAACGAAAGACTTTTAGAGGTCAACAGTCTTCGATGTGCAGGTGTCTATATAATAAATATGCCAAACTTTAAATCGTCCGATTTTCTTAAAAACGATTTGAATAAATCAAACAGAAACTACCACAGATTTCATTACGTTCTATAATCGAAATGTCTGTAATTTTTAGTCAATGACAAAATTATGCAGCTAAAACATCTTCATCAGACAGCAGATATTTGTTTGGCCTTGGTAACTACTATACGGTATGTGTACTCGCAGTCAATCGATAGCATACTTTACTGCTATGAAATACTTACTTTCTGCACAATTACTATAAACGTACATTCTTTACATAGTCCTTTAACAGCACTATTTGATGAAAATATTTATGTGCCAACTTTATGACAAATGTCAAAATTTAGATATAAAATTTTGAAGAGCACATAACCAAAATGACTAATATAGATCGGCTAACATCCATCTATATTATATGACGCGGAAATTTACAGAAAAATACATTTCGCCGTGTTTTGTAATTACACACCACTTTCCTATGTAAGTGAGAAGTTTAAAGACTCACATCTTGGTAACTCTCCTAACTGTAGTCCAAACTTTTTCTGATGTTTGACGTACTTTTTTTTTTTGGGGGGGGGGGGGGGGGAGGGAGGCTTGCTTGTGATTGCCTTTTTCGGACTTGGGACAAAACAAGTCCACATAAAGCCCGTCAGATGTCAGAACAATCTCGAACTACAAACTAAGAGCCTGGAGTCTATTGGTTGTCGTCATCTATACCTGTCGTCTTTGTTTCTAGTTTTGACATCAGCCTTATATACTAGAAAACTATACTGTTAATTGTTATTTTTAACTCACCTAGCTCATTTGGGTTACATGAGCTATCACCACTTAAGGTATTTAGAATAAAGTCTCTGAATGATTCTTATAGTATCTTCAATAAAGTTTGTGTATGTGTTTGTCATGTCAAACTGTTAACTTCAAGCAAATTGAGATTTTAAGGAATTTCATTGGTTGTTAGAATTGAATGGACTCTTGGCCTATTTCATTATACAATGTTCCCTAAAAGTACTTAGTAGTACATTATTATAAAAACGCAGGTGGGGATTTTTAAATTGCCATTATTGTTATAAGAACTGCGAAATTAACTGTGGTTACCGGGCTATGATAATAGAGTGAAAATTAGGTTTCACATATTGATCTCGGTCCGAAAATCGTTGTTAAATATATACGACCGACGTCTTTGCAGAACAAATTGAACAATCAATTGGTTCATTAAAAATCATATGAAAGGAAATGATACTAGCCATTTGTAAATAGTGTAATGAAAAATCAATCAAACTGCACGATTGTGTTTGTCGTTTGACTACGTGTGCGGAATAATCGGCAATTTACCATTTTGATTACTAACTGTTATCAACATAATATCTGGCTATGTGTGCATAATGCACGTTCGGCAATCATTTTACGAAGAAATTTATTCAGACACAAACAACGACTCGGACTACATGCCTTCTTTCACATTTGAACGTAGTAGAGAAGAGGTATACATCTTGATTCGAGAACCGATTACATGGGAACGATTTTTCCCACTTTCCTAACAATCCATACAGTCAAGAGAAAGATTTTATGACTCCAATGAGACTCGTCAGAGTTTTAGACGGTCTAGCCAAAAGGTGTCAAAGATTTTTGAACTGTGTTTGATTCTTTGTTCTCATTACGTTCGTAAGCAAATTCTTACAACAATATCGGCAAGTAAACTCAATTTTCGAGACGTCAGAAAAAGAAGTCATTGTGTGGGATTTCTACTTATACATTTTTTTTTAATGTAGATTGCAAAACATACCCTCATGATTGTCAAATTAATATACGATATATGTACATTGTCCAAAAATATAAAATTTATGTGTACGAGCTTTAGAAACAGGACGAAAAGCATGTCGTCAAGCTTTTCTCCTGTTTCGTAGCGAGTACAAATAAATTATATATTTCTGACAATGTACATATATTGTTTTTATCATCCAATTTATACCCGGATCTTGAAGCTTTAGTTGTTTAAATCCAAATAGTTGTCTGATTTTCATGGAAGTTGATATAGTTTATACGCGGACCGCGAAGAGGACCCCAAAATGAACTGTTACGCAAAAAGAAATATTCACAGTACCGCTTGCTCAAGATCGAGCTGGGTAACAGGAGATATTATTGGTATTCAAGTAAATACTGTATTTGTACTATCGTTTTCTAATTGCATTATAAAAGCTGATAAATGTTTTATAAAATCAAAAGATTTGTTTTAATCGACATGCTATTTTTCTGGAAAAGGTTCAGAAAGCTTGTGTGCCGCCGTGCAAGAAAAAAATAATAATGTAGATGTTCAAAACCGAGTCAAATGTGTCCATGGAATGAACGTGTTTACTTATGGGCTTGTGTTTAACCGTTCTACTTCATCTGCATCTGCTTTTAGTTGTTTATTGTATTCTCCATAGAT